GTTTCTGAACATCTAAAGTCAAATCTGCTGTACCCATGAGATTTCCGTGCAGTCCCAGGCTTGAGGAGTCATGTAGAGGGCCTGGGTGATGTTGTAAATACAGAATAAGGTAATGGACAGTTAGAAGTTACAGGTACAAGAAAACAAATCGGCAGAGCAGAATCCACACAGAGTAATTCAACTGGTAGAGATTGTTGTGTTTTCTGCAGGGTTACTAGTGGCTTGGGTTAAATATCGGTGAAACAGAAATTACTGTGGGGAAGATTCGGTAAGGAGATTTTATCAAACGAAAGGTTTGGGGAGCACGTGCATACAGTCATTTTTAATCTTTTCATTGATGTGCGTGCAAGCACACAACTAGAATAAGCTACTTGAAGAGATGCCAAACCTCAATTTGATTGTTTTTCGTTCTGAATTCAGTACCAGATTTTGCTGCGTGGGTGTTGGTACGAAGTATTTGGAGGAGATCCAGATAACTTCCCAACTGAGCTGGATAGTAGAAACCAAAATGCCCTCACCCAGCCACTTCTAGCTGAGGAGAGTTTAATGGTTCATCGGTCACCTTCATACAATACCCTTGAGGATGAATCACACTTAAATTCACCCCCTCAGTACCCTCGTCTGTATCTTCCTGGAAAGATTATCCATATTGTAGAAGAATCCACCTCTAAGAGGTAAGTAGAATAATGAATATCGCTGTCTTGTTTTCCTAAAAATCTACTTAAAGCTGCTTCTCGCTTTCAAAGTACGTTTCCAGCTCTGCGTCTCATCTGCATCACCGTTACCCATTTTTGGTTATTACGCATTAGCCAGCCTTTCAGGTTTTTTTCTGTGCCTCCCTGCTTCTGTCTGTTTCACTTCGAGCCCTGGAAACTGTTTCTCTTTAGGCCTGCGTGCCTTATTCTGCCCATATATTGCATGTGCTTGAGTGCTGATTTTAAACGGTGAGACTGGCAAGATCAGCTTATCATGCTGCACTTCCTACCCGAGACTGCAGATCTTGCAGTCTTGTGTCCTGGTAGCAGTGACGTGATAACAAAACACCTAGTTATTGAGTTGTCGTGTGAATATTGGTGTGATGAAAGAGGTGAAATATTGCCTGCGATACCGGCCTAGCTGGACTGGAGAGGTGCAGTTGCCCCAGTAACCAGTGTGCCCATGTAACCAGCATGGCCATGCAGCCTCCAGTTCCCTGTCCTTTGCTCCTTTTTTGTGGATGCAGGAAGGTGAGACAAAGACGGCAGAAAGCTGAAAGTGCTGGAAGGATGAGGATTCTGGTTTTATTGGGGCAGTGTTGTGTTTAGGGGTGGGGTGGGTTTGTGTGTTGTTGATGTTACGGTTTTTTTAGACAAAAACCCCCTGAAACAGCCCACAAGCTAGCCAGTACTTGATAGCATCTCGTCTCATTCTGAAACAGAAATAAAACATCTGTAACTTGCACAATACCATCTTAGAGAAGAAAATAAAAAAGTCTGTACCTTACAGAAGAGGAAGGAAAGGAGCTCGAGAAGAAATTCACTTTTTTTCCTCTAGTTCAGTAGATCAGTATTTTATTTAAGCTTCACATCTTTAATGTTTCACAATTTTAATACTGGTTTTACAAGTTAGGCACCTGTGACCTGGCAGGTTTTCTCAATGGCTGCTCTTGTACTTTGAGTTAATTTCTTTTCTTTCATTTACTCCACAGCATAGCAGTTACTCATGTGCTAGGCTAATTAAGAAAAAAACATAAGAGCACCCATCATATACTGTTCTGTAAAATCAAATCCTACATACATCATACGTTTAGTGTGACATCTAGTGTTAGTCTGTTACTGATACCACTGTGACTTAGTCCCAACTTTGACATTAACTGTGTGAACGTGCAGTGCTTAACCCCTCATCCCCCTTTGCTCAGGCTGTAGTCTGTGCTGCTTTGGGCAGGGTTGGTTGATAGCTTCTGTCACGGTTAAGGCACAGTGTCATACGGTGTAGTTCTGCCTTCGGGGACACTCACTGGCAGCGTGTCCAGCTGTTCTGTCGCTCCTTGGGAGCCTGCCTTCCTGCTGGGAGAAGGTTCCAGTTCCTCCCTGAGCAAGGGCAGGAGTCTCCAGGGTGTTCCAGGTGTGGCATCGAGCACCACTTCTGACAGTCTGAGCTGTTGCATTTGTGATGAGGTTTTTTGGTTGTGTATGTTGGTGGTGTGTGGGTTTTGGTGTTGTTTTTTTTTCCCCCTTCTTTTTAGGTTGTGCTCTTCCAATATTGAATACATGGCAAGATGGTCAAATGAAACAGCCTTCAGCAGCATTTTAATAAGTCCCAAGATGATAACAGACCACATGCCAGATGTCGTGCTCAAAGCTCTGAACAGTTTGTCTCGGGAACACGGATTGTGTCTGTCTTGTCGAACACGAGAATGTAATACCACTGAAGAATAACCGTAGCTCAAAGATGAGGGCTGTCAGGGGTTTTTTATTGCAGGTTTGAAGTATTCAGGACACATTCCACTTCCATACCGAAGTGGATTTCAGTACTTTTCTCACATTGCATAAAAGAAACAAGGGTCTTAATGCCTTTGCCTCTGCAGTGACCTTGAGTAGAACGATGCTGGTTAAAGCACGGTGTCCGTATTTATGCTGAAGGTTGAGCTTTTACAAGACAGAAGAGTCTGGCAGGTTCTAGCTAAGCCTGTGTATGCTGGCGCACAAGAGCCAAGGCATCAACTGAATACTTGACCAAAGTGAGCGTGTGCGTGAGGCCAGCTTGGCATACGCATTGGAGTAGAGCCCTGTCAGCCCTTACGAAAGAAAGAAAACCAAAGCCACTTCATGCCGTTGTCTTCGCACCCTGTGACCGACTGTTGCAATGGCTGGAGCACATTGTGTGAAAGGCGGGTGATGAAGGCAACACAGCTGTGCGTGCGTGAGGTGGGTAAGTGAACGTGTCTGCGTCAGGCAGGAGCGTGCGGGCAGGCTGCCCGTGCCCCTTTGTCACCAGGCAGTTCTGACTGATTGCACTATTTTTCTTACAGATTGTGGTAGTATCCCGGGGGCAGGGGGAGCGGTGTGGTTAAATGCTGCTTGGATATCCATGTGCAATATTCTTTAATCTACCTGTCTTTTGTAGTCGTTGAGCCACATGACTACTTTTATTGCTTTTAAACGAAACTAATACTGTAACTAATGAGAAGGAGGAGAAAAAAAGAAAAATTTGTTCATGCCCTGGAATCATTTTAGGCACTAGCTCAGAGCCCGGAGCTAATCCTGCCAAAAATGTGTAACCAGTTGTACTGATTTTAAAAAAGGTGGATTCCTTGTTTCTAGTATGCAACTATTTTAACTTTTTAAGGCTCAGCAGCATTTCTTATTAAAAAAAAAATGGACAGAAATAAGTAAAAGTACTATGATGTGGTTGAGAATAATTGTGTGGATGTTCTTGCCGTGATACTTAATATGGAGCTAAAATAAAATGCACTCTAAAAACCCGTCTTACTATGTTCAGGTATGCTGGGTGAGCTAGATAGAACCTACTACTTTATAGCTCTTCAACCAGCCGGATGCCATGCAGCAAGGTAAGTCAATACCAATAGCAAGGGCCTAGCACATCCTTCCTCCTCGAGCAGGCAGCAGTGGTGGTGCTGCTGCTTTCAGGGTACCCCAGGGTCCCCCCCACCTTCTGTGGGGTAAGACCAGGCCCTGGGGAGAGGGCAGCAGGCTGAGGTGCTACTGCCCTGGAGGCAGGGGAGGTAACAAGCACAGAGCTCGGCTCTGCACTTAGAAGGCTACAATCTGAGGCGTGTAAGCACAAAGTACTGCACCACAGCCCTCATTTTATAAACCATTTAAGTACCAGTTTTAGAGGAAAAGCACTTTTGTTTGCATACGACAGAGTGAAATTGGTATTTTTTTTTTTCCGCCCTGGTTGTCAGCAGGTTTAAAACATTGCATGAGCAGCATCAGGAGCTGGTAACAACTCAAACGATCATGCAAGGCCTCTGAAGAAATGTACCGTATTTAATTCTGGTTCTTAACATAAGCCTGTGGTTGCCACACACACCCCAGAGGAGACAAGTACACCACGCTGCTGTTGGCACGGGAAGAACACTTACTCATAGTGGTACAAGAATGAGAACGCTTGCTCAGAAACTCAAACATTGCCACGCATGTGATTCAAGGATTTATTAAGTCATACATGCAAAACATACTGCTAATTGCATTAGCAAAAGATCAATGTAAAAACTTCACAATTTTGCAACTTTTTTTTTTAAATTTTGCTTTAGTGGTTGAAAGGGTGTAGTTCAACATCATATTCCTGCCAGTTTAGAAGTACAGAACATTAGCACTAATTACAGAACCTCACAGACCCAAGTTACCATGACTCAATCTATGCTGCACATGTACATGGAGTGACATAAAGAACACTTGTCTGCATTAGTAACGTTACAGTGGTGGGGAGATCTCGCAAATAGTGATACTTGAGAAGGTTCAGAGTTTATAGAGGTTTAAAATATAAAAATTACTAAAAAGTGTAAAGCTGCTTCACATGATTTTTACACCTAGTTAATAGACTAAAAGCTCCTCAGAAAGCATATAACTTACTGGGTCAGAAACAACAGGAAAATAAGGAGGATATGCTTGAACAGTCTACTCTACAAAAAAAAAAAAGCAAACTTCTATCATCAGAAAGGTTTTAAAATACAAGTTATATTGCTCAGTAAGAAGAGAGTCTACAAGAAAAGCATTTACTACACAACAGTTGTGGGAATGCCTGGTTCAGAGTTGTACCTAAATGAATGCCCTACTTGAAATTCCAAGGGATTTACCCATGAACACCAACCTCTCTTCCACTACTGCACCTCTGGGAAAATGGCCGCTGATTTTAACCTGCACGGAAAGTCAATTCAGTTTCAACTACCCTGGCAGTGTAGTGTAAGTCATCTGTACAGTGTCAAAATACTGTCTGGCACTAGCACTTGATCCAAGCCCCTACACAATTTATCCCTCACAATACAATGCTGTCTGAAGGACTAGGTACACTTGAGTAAGAATAGTTACTTATTTTGTAAATCACAGCAGCAAGAACTAGATTGCAACCAAGCCCTTACCAATAAAGCATTTTACACTGTGACTCAAGGGTGTCAGTCATTGTCAGAGACAACGTTATGCAATGACTGTGGGTTGAGAAAACTAATAATAAAACACATTAGAGTGCAGTGTTTTGCTAATTGGGATTGTTACTGTGAAAAACTAGAAAGTGTTTTTGCATTTCCTACCAGAAATTAGAGTCATCTTCAAGAAAAATCTTTAAAAAACAGTTTAGTGCTTAGTGTTCATAGCACAACAATGCAACTTAGTTCAGCAGATAGTTTGGCAACACTTAATTGAGCAAGAACAGGATTTTAAAAATAAGGCTTTACATAGGTTTGTCTTTTCAGGAGTTTGCTTTTAGAAGAATGCAAGGTAACTTCCACACTTTAAACAAATGAAACCGTGAAATTGTTGATTGGTTCAAGAATTTATGGAAGAGAACTAATTTATAACAGAAAAACTTGGCATTGAATGTGAATGCTCCATTGTTCTGAGCAAAGCACAGGGTTTGGAGTGGGGTGGGGGAGGGTAACGTTTACAGCAGCAGACATTTTCTCTTCCTCTTCTTTACAGGAGGGGGGCACAGAACTGCTCGGATAGCTTCATCAAACACTGTCTTGAGGCCTCGCTGTGTAAGTGCTGAGCATTCTAGGTACTTCACTGCACCTGTGGAAAGCACAAAGGCAATTACAAAGCAGTTTTCTACACTTCCCAGCAGCACTGCTCCTAGCTAACTCCACAACAAAACCCAGACATTTATTTTAATTAAGGTACAGCATCTTCCACAAACAAAATCTAAATTAAGTCAACAATAACCCCGTTGCCGTCATACCAATCTCTTTTGCCATGGCAAGGCCCTGTGGGTAGGTGATAGGAGTCAGCTTCTTCTCCTTCAGTTTTTCAATAGTGTCCTTATCATCCCGGAGATCAAGTTTGGTACCCACTAAAATGATGGGGGTGTTGGGGCAATGGTGTCGCACCTCAGGATACCACTGCAAAACAAGAGTGTAGGTTGTGCATGGGGGCAGATTTCCATGAAGGCTCTCGAACGTTGCGACTGAAAGGCTCACACTCCTGTGTGACACCTTCAAGAGTCAGTCAAAGAGTAAAGTGGAGAACATAAGACCCCATTAAGGCAGTATTGGAAAAGAGCAACAATGGCAAAAAGTTTTTAATAAAGCCAACAGGTATTTCCATAGACTTTAAAAATTTAGCCTATTAAGGGCTGTATTTTCTCCACACACCAGAAAAAACCCTGATCTGCACTTCTCTCAGCCACGGAGACCACCTCTCATTTATGAAGTCTCCGCAACACCATACAAGCTGACTTGTCCAAGGACCCAAAAGACCGCAACAGTAGTGGAGCATCTGCCAGAATGCTAGCTGATGCAAGAAACAAGTGATATCAACCTAATTTTTACATGCGTTTGTTTTTTAATATTTTTCTTTAAACTGCATTAAGATGAAAGTGCCTGTTTGTGATCTTAGCACCTTGTTGGCTGAAAACTCTTGAACTACTGTTATGCTATCAATGCATCAAGGAACGATTCAAGCTTAAGAGTGTTTCACATGCCCTGAACTTCCATGACTTAGAAGTTAGGCAAATAGATTTCTGCCTTTTCAAACTACATTTCACATTGCCTGACAAAAAAAAAAAAAAAAAACACCTAATATTTTCCAGACAGTGCTGTAAAATGAACACTATGTTGAACCCTTAGAAATAAAGTGATACCAGCTTGTATTTACCTTAGCACGGACATTTTCAAAGGATGCGGGACTCACAAGGGAAAAGCAGATTAAGAAGACATCCTACAAAACAAGTTGATAGAGGTTAGCCCAGCAGAGCAACCATTACAAAAAAAATCTCATGACCCTGAAAAGGCCAGTATCACCAGCATCTGTATCACACTGTCGCCTATATCACATTTGCAAAAGGCAAGGTCTACAATACAGTCGCACATGACAATTAAAGGTAGCTTTCCCAGCAGGAAATCCATTCTCAGGCAGCTACAAGCAGACAAAAAGGGTGGGGGGAACCAACAACAAATAGCTTGTAATCAAGTTTATAATCAGCTAGTGCAAGTAGCCAGCAACTAAAACACCAATACTATTGAACTGCAAGCTTCCCAAAAAACCCCCCCCCCCCCCCAAGTGTCATTTCTTCTCCCTCACTGACATTCAGAAAACAAAACAAAATGAAAAAAAACACGCCACAACAAACCACCAAACCAAAACACTCCCTATCTTTGACAACACAGGAAGCAATGAAGAGTTGTTAGACTGGCTTCTAAACTGGGGTTGTTAGACTGGCTTCTAAACTGGGGTTGGATGCTCTTTGCAGAACTCTAAGTGATTTAAGCCTGGAAAGACATGCAACTCATCAGCATGGGATGTTGCAAAGTGTTACTGTTGGCACGGATTTTTAAAAATATGAGTACACTCTTAATATACTACTCTCAAGTAGTTTTAAATTGCAAAGGCAAAGTATACAGTATGGAATACAAAAGAATCTTACAACGATAGTTTCTACATTTATTACTTCCATGCCCGAATCAGAAGAACCTTGTAGAACTGTCACTTCTACTGAATGGCAGTATAAAAAGATTTCAGAATTTCTCTATAACCAAATTAGGATCAAGAAAGGTATTAAAAACCTCGAAGCTCCCTCCTTCCCTTTCTAAATAAAGAGGAAGCAGAGAGAACAGTGGGTGTTGCACATCTCGCTTTTCAATTGAAGGCAAAAGAAAGACTAAGTAAGACCAGGTAAAAACATTTTAGAGCACGTGTTTACACTAACTGCTGTACAGTATACACTTCAAAAAACAATGAGCTTCATATGTGATGTGCCGTAGTCTACAAGCATTCAGAATAACCACAAAATAATTTTCTCTAAGCTGATGGAAGACTGTAATCTTGCTGTATGACCCAAGACTCAATAAGCATCTCTCAAACAAGCCCAGCTTTCCCCAACCTACCTCTGCATCCATACTTATTCCGGTATCAAACGTGTTAAAGAATCAGGCATTTCAAAATGTTAGTTGATTGTGCTGCATTTCGAGGCATTTTGTTAGGTCAGCATCTGACATCTGCACTGCTAAGCACTTGCAACCCAGTTGTTCATGCATCACCCCAACAAGTTTCCATAGCAGCGTCCCAGAAGAAGAAAGAAACAACATCAAATAATGTGATACTATGGCCACTACTTCTGTTTTCCAATTCTGCACATTTGTGGTGATTGAAGTTCTGCACATTATGCAGACTCTCTCCTTTACTAGCTCCAGAGATAAAAAAAAAAATATGGTGTAACCATGAGGAATTATTTTAAGATTTCAGGTGTCTGGCACACTACCAATCTTAATAAATAGGAGGAAAAGCTATTTATTTGCAAGAAAAGGTTTAGTCTTAGCAATTCACATATAGAGATTTGGTAACAGTTCTCAGATCTAGCAATTCAATAGTTCCAAGAAAAGTAGTTGTTTAAAAAAATAGGGGCCAATTTATCACTATCATAAGCAGACAAGATGACAGAACTTGGAACTCAAGTTTATTTAAAGTTTTACATACGGCAATAGGTTGATCTGTCAGACTGGAAGATATATTCTTACCATTGGTTCCTCCAACCTAGTAACAGTAGGAGATAAAGTTACGCCTAAAACGGATTTAAGGGAAAACATTCTCTCAGTCAGCGATTTATGCTCACAAATATTCACAACATGGCTTTTCTTCTTAAGAGAGACGCTGCCCTGTAATTTAGCACAACCAACTTCCTGCATGCAGAACAGACCACCAGACTTCCCCATAACCCTTAAATGTCTGCATTGTCAGAGGGAACTTGCAGGAACAAACCTCTCATGAAAAGCATCCTCCTAACAATTTTCTTTTTGGTTTTGTCTCCTGAGGAAACAAGGTTAACCACCTTTTCTGTCCCAACTTCTTCCTTCCCCCAAATATTCTGAAATACTGGTATATTTCAAATACATTCAGGAGAAGATATTAAATTCCTGTATATTTTAAGGAAAGAAATAAAAAAAAATATGAATAAGGGAAGAAGATACAAATTAATGCCTCCACTACGGCAAAGTCCTTACTGTGAAGTTAATAGCTGTTGATCTGCTGGGTGACTCATCAAGATACACATGTTGGCCAAGTAATCAGCAATACCTGCCTTCACCTTGCCCAGAACATAGTTCAGGTGCACATACAGGGAAACAGAGGACCACAACAACCTGCGAGGTAAAGGAAGGGGGAGGCTGAATGCAGATCCTAAAAAAAAGTCAGGCTTCATCAGCTCCACCATTCTCTTCCTCTGTGCTTTTTGTTACTTTCGTGAGTTTTTTTTGTCCCTGAAGTGATGATGAATCTTACACATTGCACAAGTCTAAAATCTGAAGACTGCTTCATGGTAAGTTCAAGACTTACCACCCTGTTTCATTTTCCGCAGTAAAAAACCAATCCAAATAACTGAAAGTACTTCATACCTTTACTTAACAGTTACATGTGCTTGTACAGAAGAGATTTTTTTTCCCCAGAAGTATGCTTAGATTGACATGGAATTCTTTTGCAGTCTATCAGAAAGCCATAGCTATTTTTGCAGGCTGAAGACATGCATGTGCATTCCGTCCCTTTGTCATACAGCAGCAACAATATTCTCTCCTTCAACTGCTTTCTCACACTAGAGTGATCTTTCAACATACCTTTGCCTAGCCTGAGATACTTCTTTGAAAATATTTTTACAAAGTTAAGCAAAGCTTAAGTTCTAATATCCTATAAATATCTAAGTATTAGAGAAAAACAACTTTCCATTGTCTCTCTTCCTAGGAAAAGCAGGTATTTCTGGCATTTCTACTAGAGTTGCCTACAACTAGCAAGTTCACATCCATCTTGGGTTTTGTAACTGATGGGAAAGCCTAATTGCAAGAGTTAGCAAGCAGAGAATTAAGGAAAATTGTGAATTAAGACTGCTTACTAAAAAAAAGCAGCAGTGTTCCTTAAATAAGATTCACATTATTCAAGAGAGCAGTTATGCTGTAGAATAACTGGAACAATTGTGCATTTTACTTATTAGCACTGAATATATATTTGACAGTTAACAACAGTAATCAATGCCAAAAAAACCTGCAAATTACCACCTTTCTTTACCTATAGCACAGCTCTGCCACCTAAAACTGCTCCAAGGAGACTAGAAAACCAGCCTCTGCAAAGATTAACTGTAGCTGAAGCCGCACAGATTACTTCAGCATTTTCCTTACGCAAGGAAAGATGCAGCATGCAGACAGGACTGGAAGGCAAGCATGGAAGACAGAAGCACATTTGTGTTGCTGTTATAGCACAAACTACAATAAGTAATAAAATTCCCACAGCCTTAAGTACGTTTGAAAGCTCCGACACAGGCTCTGGCAATACCAGTAATATCTTCATTCAGCATTGCCTCTTTCACATTAGAACATCTTCACAGAGACTAAACAATATCAAGTGCTTAGCAGTGACAGCGTCAGGTTGCAGCCAAACATCACGCCTAAAAACAAAAACAAACCCTGCTTTTGGCAGGCCTGCTAAACTTAAAATCAATGGACTAGCTGATGGCACCATTCACCAAGGGTTTTTTCGTTTTGTTTTGGGTTTTTTTTTGGTTTTTTCTTGTTCTAAATCAAGCATTCTAGTTGATTCTGAGGCTGCAACTACACAAAACCCAATGTGTATCAGTGCATGCAAATACACAAGCATGCAAATTTTAACATTTGTGCAACTGTACACACGTCAAAGATTGTATTATTACAGCCACAGCATGTCGGATGAAGGAAGGTAGCTTGCAACAAGTCACTCTTACTAATAAATACAACTCCAGATGTGACAACGTTGGTCTTATGTTCAAAAAGAAAAAAATCTTTATGTTAGACAAAGTTGTACAGATTCTTTCTAGTTTCACACTGTAGTTCTTACTGTTTGAGGATAGGAGAGTGGACGTAGTCTGTCATAGTCCTCTTGACCAGCTGTATCCCACAAACCCAGATTGACCGGTTTTCCATCAACCATTACATTAGCAGAGTAGTTGTCGAAACTAAAAAAAAAAAAAAAAGTTAGCTGTATTAGCTTGCAGCAAATTAGGGCACTCAAGGACTTCTTCCTAGAGAGTCCTAATTGGAAACACTACCAAAGGAAACATTTTTATTGCATTCTTCGGCTCCCCAGAAACAGTAAAGTTGTTCTTTAAATACTGAGCCTGGTATGGGGTAATGGAAGGAAAACATATGCGCAACAGACTTCGTCCAGTCTGAACAGAAGTCATCTTTTTCATTGCTCTTCCAAAGGAAGTGTTAACCTCAGTAAGTATGGGAAAGCAGGTGATGCACTTAGCAAGCACTTTCCAGTCTTAGTGGGACATTTCTAGGATTTAGAACAACAGATACATGAGCAACAACCAAGGAATCCTTAATGACAATAGCAGGTAAGAAAAAACCCGAATAATCCTGCTAATCAAAAACCCCTCCAATGAAATATCAAAGGGGCCAGCAGAGGCATGATTTTTACCTCGTCAGTACTGTAGGTGGAAAGGTTTTAATGACTTGTTAAGGCTAAACTAACTTCACTAGGAACACAAGCATACTGTAATGCAAAAAATGTGAATTTAAGACAAAAAAGGAAGCAGGAGTAATTAAGACAACAAGGCCTTGGAAGGGTAACTAAAGTCATCTGTAAATCGCTTTAGAATGTATTTTGTTATCTGGAAAACTTGTCAATACTTACAGAGAGCAAGATAGCCAGATAAATACAGACACATCTGAAAAGGGCAAGGAAGCTGTTGCTCATATATAAAACACCTCCCCCCAGCAGGCCCTCAAAAAGAGAACTACACTAATACTGATACTGACAAATCCCTACATGCAAGAAAATGGGAAGCACCAAAACAAATGAATCCCCACAACCACGCCTGAGGACCTATAGAGCTGTGGCTGGCTTGGCACAGGACTGGCAGTAGCACAAGAAGTGGAAGGAACAACAACAAAAAATCTCTAGTCATGTAAACCAACTGTTTCTGACTACAATTTAATGTTTTACAAGCTGTTCAGCCTTAGGACTGCTTATTATGAATAATATCAAAGATAGAAATAATACATTATTTTAAAAGAGAACCGCATCTGACAAAATGTTGCTAAATATTAGTCCTTAATAAGCTAGGCCTAGTGAGCAGAGAGAGGCAAAACTGATGGAGCATGAACAAGCACAGGTTTGACTGCTAAGCAGTAAAAGCTCAAAGCGCTTCTCCTTACATGCACCTAGATACTCAGTTACACATTTAAGATGAAACCAAGGGGTGCCTGCAGCCAATTCAAACAATTCAACTAAGGAATCTGGAATGGCAGTAAGCACAGAGAAGCTGACGTATAAAATCTTAAAAACTCATTTAAGTACTTACACAGTGGGTATATATTCTCCAGGAAATGCATTGGTTGTGTAACTGATGAGTAGGCATGTTTTACCTACAGCACTGTAAAAAGAGAAAGTTCACATGTAAAAAACATTCATCTTGAATAATGAGAAATAATATTTCTTTTAGGAAGACTGATTACATCCAGTCATCTAAGGAACACTTGAGTGCCACTAGTCACTATTGTGCATGGAAACAGCTAATAGACTGTAGCCTTAAGATTACTGGCAATGAAAACACACCTAATATAAACATCCATTTTGTGAAGAGGTAAATTACCAAATTTTGTTAATCTTTAGACAAAAAAAACCCCACACACGTATTAATAAGACTACTAAAATCTGCTAGTCACCTGACTGAATACTCATCAAGACTGCCTTTCTCCAGCTCCCCAAAATTTAAAAAAAAAAAAAAAAAAAAAGGAAAGTAAAGTTTGAAAAAAGCTTGACAAGTATCATTTCTCAACACATCATTACTTTGGAGTATTTGAGGAAAAAATACGAATTATAATCCTCGCAATATTTCTTGCTATTGCAAAATGACTCCCCGCATGTATTCGTCAACTATTCAAACATTGCATAAACTGGTTTATAGATAAATTACATTCCAATATTGGAGAACTTGGAACGCTGAACCTTTGCCCACAGATCTGATTCTGAACAGCCTCAAATGGGGGCAGGACAAGGTTCTGTTCCAGGTTTCTTTCAAAACTCTGGCAGCCAGCTTCTTCCCTCTCCACATCTTATCTAGAGTCAAACATTAGATTAACACCACCATTGAATTTTTCTTAGAGTTTCAATTAAAGGGTTGGAAAACTTGAAATTGGTCCATATCTTTTTTTTAAAATAGACTCTGTAAAGACTGTTTCTGACACTGCAGACTGGTTCCCATGCAGGCTTCTCACTTGAAGGGCATAATCCTTTAACAGCGTGAGAGATTCCAGAGGCGAGTGTGCAACCAGTTCCTCAAAAACAATAATGCCCAGTCTTCCCAATCACTCTTCTCAAACAAACTCCCATGCAAGGAAAACTGCACTGTCTTGCAGATGTTTTATCACTACAACAATTTGCTCAAAGCAAGTCAGCAGTAACTTTGAAACCTTACTGTACTTACATGTATAATCTTGCCATTAGTATTAGGTTCGACTCATGAGCTTCCTGAACTAAATCTTTCACAAGCTGAAGCAACTCATTAAAGTTTTACTCTAGAACTACAGGTAATATTAAAAAAAACAAACCCACACACAACCACACGAACCACCAAACCAAATGCTATTGCTAAAAATATCCTATTATCCTTTAGCTTCTGCAGAGGAAAAAAATAAAATTCAGAGAAACAAGCTTTAGTCAAGGGCTTACTAGCTCTCCATCTGCAAACATTTTGAGGCATTCATATCTGAATTTTACTATGTATCTTCCACTTAAATCATTGCATTTCTTCTCTTGGTTTGGAAGCATATGGACTCTCCCTTCACTTACCAAAGACCATCTTCAAAACATTATTTAAAGTGATTTAACACTCAACATTAACCAACCAGCCTCACCCAGCGACTCACAAATTAAGGCAGGTTAAGCAAATTTGAGCTTTGTCACAACCATAAGTTACCGTGTACATTATAGCTCAATTTGTAACAAGTCTCTCCATTAAACTTCAAGCTGTTCCATACTGCATTACCCCAAAAAGTTATTCGATAGCAGCACCTGACAACATTACCTTAAATGCCTGAGCTATGCAAGAGTTGCTTCAGTGTGCAAAATTATCTAGGATTTTATCCTATATGCCCTTTTTTAATTGTAATTTTATGTTTGAGCTGACATCTAGCATAACATCCCATCTGCTGCAACTTTTGATCATACTGTGCAGTTTTCCACACTAATTTTCACACCTGCTTCTGAGGAAACAAAATGCCAGCTCCTTGCACAGTCTGAGATTATTTTTTTTTCTCCTTTCAGCATGCACTCTCTTTTACCAAGCTACAACAACAACAACAAAAAAGGGGGCATTTAATTCTGTTCTTGATAAGTACAACTTCTGAACATTTTTGCTGTAGTAACAGGCTTGAGATATATTTTTGCTCAAAGTAGGAGAGGGATTTACCCTTCAAAAGCTTCTGTGGGAAAGAACCAGGGAGCAGTATGACAACACAGCTAGCTACTTTAACAGCTGTCAAAAGAGGAGAACCCATCTTATGGCATCTTATTCCAGTACCTAAAGGGGCCTACAAGAAAGCTGGGGAGGGACTTTTTACAAGGGCATGGAGTGATAAGACAAGGGGCAATGGCTTTAAACTGGAAGAGGGAAGATTTAGATTAGATACAAGGAAGAAGATCTTCACCGTGAGGGTGGTGAGGCAGTGGCACAGGTTGCCCAGAGAAGCTGTGGCTGCCCCATCCCTGGAAGTGTTCAAGGCCAGGCTGGATGGGGCTTTGAGCAACCCGGTCTGATGGAAGGTGTCCCTGCCCATGGCAGGGGGGCTGGAACTAGGTGGTCTTTAAGGTCCCTTCCAACCCAAACCATTCTATGATTCTATGATCTCTTCCACTAGCACCCATTGACTCTGCAACAAACCAGAACAGGGAGTTAAGGAAAGCTATTCACTCCGCCTCCCCCATTAGGACAACTGATAGCTCTCGGAGCTAAAATAGATCAGTTTGAATATATTGCTGAATTGCACTCATAACACTATAAAGCAGGCTATGCTGGTCCAGCTTATAAAGGACAAAACCTTCAAAATACCAAGAGAAGCAAAAGCCAGCTTCTTTGGGAAATTTCTTGAGGCGCAGAGGCTACATGTTCTCATGCTTCTAGAACCTGTTTCGTTCTAGAACCTGTTTGGTCTGACACTTCATTTTCCAGTAAGTTCACTACAGGTAATTTAAGCTTCTAAAAATTTAACGTTGAACTCAACATTTTCAGCAACAGATCAAGAATTTTTCTCTGCACTCAGGCTCCTTTGCTCACCTTCCACTGAAACAGAGTTTGCTCTGACTAATCAAAACGGCGCAGAAGGGAGGTGGTGAGAGATTTCATTCCAAGCTTAGAAGTGCCTGTACTGTGTTTCTGCAGCACCAATCAGCCAGAGTCATTTAAACAAGAAAAAACACGTTCAACAACCCTGTTTCAGACTTGCTCCATCTAGGTTTCCTGCTTTCCTTGCCTTTTGGCTCACTGCCCTATGAATCAGATCATTATGGTCACCAGTCTTAAAAATAAACACTAATGTCTTTATTTATAAAGTACATCCTCTAAGTACTTTATCAATTTTTTAGACTTCTAACTTCTGTATTAAAGCAAGACCCCTAAAGAGAATTCTAACTGTCTGGCAAAATATAAATCCTTGTACATAAAGGCTGAGACTAAGAAACAAAAATAACATCAAACCAAGATTAGTCATAACAAGATTTCTAGCAACTAGTTAATCATAGCTCTGTCCACCCACTATTACATAAATGAAACTAGTAACATTTGACTGTAATTAAAAATATGGCCTACAGAAATCCAGCGTTTTAACAACTTAACAATAAGTGAAAGACTTCCAAAAGACAGCACCAAGTCCCTTATTGCTTCCAGGTACCATACAGGAATCAATGTATTTATATAACCACATATGTATGAATTCCTGAAAACAAAACATGTCGCCTCTTTCCTGGCCTTTTTTACACTAACAAGTTTCACGAGGTTTCCCCACTGTGAGAGCTGCTTGGAGCCATGTTATGTGACACGGACTGACAATGCCATTGGAGGACCTGCACCAGCATTTCTTCCACTCTAAAGGCACCCGAGCTGCACAGATGGTTGAGAGTCTTCTGCTTTCCTGCAACTAAAAACTAATTGTGAGAATTTAGTTCCCACTTGCAGCCATTGTAAGAGAGGCCAGCAGCAGCACTTGCTGGTTTAATTCCAGAAACACTGATATCTGCAAACAGGTGGGAGCCTTCACAAAAAGCTTTGATTATGTCATTTCTTTCTCCGATCCACAAGAACTACCTCCCTAGCAGACATGATGCACAACAGGCCAGGTCTTCACTCAAACATTAAACAGTAGCTGAGACTTCTCTAGTACCATCCTCAGATCAGGAGTTTAGTATTTTTGCTACAGTAGGTTTAGTTACATACAGCTCTGCCAGACAAGCTGTTTTACTCACTGTGACACACCCTCTCCCAAATACGCTGTTCAGTACCTACAATTCTACCACATTTTTTACACTTTAAAAGTTCGGTAACACAAGTTACTAAGTTTCAAGTCACCATACCCTCTACAGATTGCGTTGGAGGGACCTATGGTGTTCAGCATCTTACACAAACACTGCACTACACTCACTAAGAAGCCAATTACCCTACTTACCCCTCTTCTCGACAGGTATCAAATCAAATACAGCATGGCTTTAGCACAGAAGGCCTCAAATTAAGCAGAATTCCAAACCGGGGCTCTTAATTCATTGCTCTTGTTCTTACAGTATTTTTACAATTAAAAAGTGCCTACAAAAGAGCATGAAGTGTGACCATTTCTGCGGCATTTAGTCATTGTTTCTCCAAAATGCAGAACTTCTCTAATGTTACACGACATCACTGGAGATTTCATACCACTTAACAGCTGCCTTTTCAGAGTGAAAACAAAAACTGCTAAAAATAACTTACACCAATGCTTTTTCTCAAGTGTCAATCAACAGCAATTCCTGCAGTTACTCAAGTGGAGTGCTCTTCATCTGTCCTGCACATTCCTACTGCTCTATATCATCAAGAAGTCAAAGCAACAGTTGCCACTTATTTCTCCCCAAACAATCCTCACAGAAGAAAAAAAAAAAAGGGCAAAATTTGATAGCACAACTAGCATACATGCTATGTTTTTCTAGTCAAATTAGTTGTCTAAACAGATACTCGTCAAAGCTCTAAGAACAAACATGAGTTACATATGAGAAACAGCCTACTCATTTACAAATAAAAAAAAATAATCACATGGATACTTCCACAGCTTTGTTTATTTTGTTCCTAGCAAATCTTTGCAGAGGCTACATAAAACAATACCTACGTTTTATATTACATAAGCAAATCTTTAACTT